AGCTTCCTAAAGAAGTGAAACACATCATTTTTTGTTGGTTACTAGATTTGAAAAAAATCTTCCCTTTTGGTGTAATAACCAATTTACAGGCAATACAATGGATAAAGGAACATGTTAAGCTCATCAGAATTATACAATAAGCAAAATCCACTGTATGAAAAACTCACAGGACAAACCTGATTTCTCTAACAATAAACTACAAGAAATGAAGTGCAGTGAGAAGGCCTAGAGACTAAAAGGGGTTTACACATTTAGTGGGTAAGTCTGTGAATTTCCAGAATAATGCTTGTGCTTTAGAGTTCCCAAATGTGCACAATAGTGTAAGGGCAGCCAGAGGATCTGCTCAGCCAGAGATTCTTGCCAACATGCTAACTCTATTCATGAGCTGAGTTTTTGTGAGAATTAGAGACAATTTTAATATGGTGAGAAAATCTGTTTAGAGTGAATATTTCTCATTTGAAGAGAATTAATTTTGGGTTCCACAGACTTATTCCCAGCCATCGTTATTATATGGACAGCACAGCCACTGAGAGTTTGTGTAGCAAAGTATCCCAGCAGTCTGCAGGAACGAGGGCCCAGTGCCTTACATGGTTTATGGAAGCAGGAAACAATGCTTTGCTCTCTTGCTATTACACCATCAGAACTTGCTTAAAGTAAACCCAATTCTAGAGAAACAACAAGTTGTGAAAATGGCCCTTTTCATCTTCTGCTGGGTTTGTTTTACCAGCACAAATAATAACAATGGCAGTAAAGAGCTGACAATGAGCAAGCAGTACCTTTAGCTGAGATTCCTGACTTCCTTAAGGAACAAATAAACAGGAGACAGCTATACACCATATGCATGCCTCTGGAATGAAGAGAGCTGGGCCAATAATATTAAGCCTCAAAACTTGGCTTTCTACAGGCAAATACTTAATTGGATTAAAAGAATGATGTGACAGAAGTAAAAGGACAGTGTTTCAAGAACCAGGTTACCTAAGTAAGCTTACCTGTCCTTCATAAGGCTAAAGGTGTAAGGCTGCTGCTACTCAAGTATGGTCCAGCAACCCCTAAGGAGGCCCCCTTCAGGGAGTGGGGGGATGCCCACTCAGCGAGTCAGTGAGTGTCCTCTCTCCTACGTGCAGATCAGTACTCAGTCAAAGACTCAAAGTGATCAGTGTGCCTTTGCAGTTCTCATATTCTCTCTCTCTCTCTCTCTCTCACACACACACACCCACAGCAGATCTCTCCTCTCTGGTACACTGTTTCACAAATTCTAGGGGTTTCTGGATCCCCAAACTCCTCTTCTGTCTCATCAACACAGTGAGATGGCTGGGTTTATTTTTGCTATGCTCTCCCTGCACTGAAACGGCCTCCAGGAAGCAAGCTGGGGCAATATTAGGACTCACTTCACTGTTTTCTTTACCTATCTCTGTGCCACCTGTAGTTCAATGTCCAAAAATTGTTTCATTATTTTGTCCAGCCTTCTGTTTGGAATGTCAATTCCTATAGCACTCTAATTTTGCCAGTGAAACAGAAATCACAGTAATTTATTATACTTGCAGTTTACAAATGCAGCAGTCCCTGAAGTATTGGGGAAAAACTGGTTATTCAACCACATATTATTTGAGAAGAACTGTGTTAGAAAATGCTTCCTGTATGGCATTGAGTCTTGAGGGATGAATAAAACTAAGTCAGGTAAAGGACCAGAGCAGTTTCTAGGCAGAGGGATCCTTCTCTGTTCATGAGAAGCATGGGGACATATGGAAGGAAGAGAACTCAGACTATTCTTTGTGCCTGGGATTATCTAGGAAGCATTAGATTTCTGTACCGTGGAAGAAATGATGGAAGTGATAAGTAAATATTTTCCCAAGAATACTAATTAACCTATAGAGCAAATATTTAGTGCTTTCTACTTAGAGTTCTTTCCCCTTCTCCTGTGTCTAACCCTCTAGCAGTTACTAGGAGGAATAGGGTCCAGGACACGGTTGTTGTGCAATTTGAGGGACAGCCACCAGGGGGCGATGTTTCCTACTGATGCAGTTTCTGGTTGTGTTCATGGGCTGCTTTGACTCTGGTGACTCTGTAGCAACAAAAAAGACTGCTGTGCAGAAAGGGGCTCTAAGTTATGCGTGAGGAGTGTCTCTAAGGGCCTGCTGGGGACTAGCCTTATTGCATTCAGTGTATTCCAGGGAGCAAGGATCATTTTCTTCTGCCAGCATGCTTTCTGCCACCTGTTCCATTCTTGTGATCTTAATACTCAGTAAGTAACATTTTATCTTAAACGTTAACGCTTTTTCATTTTCCTATAATTATAGATAACTTTTAGTTTTCTTCTTTGGCTGAAAACTCTCTCCCTATATGTTTCTATCATAACAAAGTAATTCTCTTTTAGGAGGGACCAGTGGAGACTCAGTGACCCAGACAGAAGGCCCTGTTATCCGCCTTGAGAGGACAAGTATTATCCTGAACTGCAGTTATCAGACCACTTATTCAAGTCCTTTCCTCTTCTGGTATGTCCAGTATCTCAGTAAAGGTCCCCAGCTCCTCCTGAAGAGTTCAACAGACAACCAGAAGGTAGAGAATGAAGAGTTTCATGCCAAGCTTGTGAAGAGTAGCAGCTCCTTCCACCTAGAGAAATCATCACTCCAAATGTCAGACTCGGCGGTGTATTACTGTGCTATGAGTGACACAGTGGGGGAGGCTGCAGGGGGAGCTGAGCACAAACCCAGAGGGCTGCAGGTGGGGCCTGGCTGTGGGCAGCCCTGGGAGGGAAGATATATTCTCTCCCTAAGCAGTGAGAGAATATAACTGCTTGATTCTATTTAGAGTTTTCTCACAGAAATGAACCAAGCCCAGACTATTCATAGAAGTCTAAGAGGCTCACAATTGCTCTGCAGGTAAAGAGGGGTGGATGTCAGTGTTAAACAGAATCAAAACTTTGAGCCCCATAAGTGCTCAGTCAGAAAGGCTTCTCTCTTCTCCAGACTCCAATCCTTCACAGAAAACATTTGTAGAAAAACTCTATCGTGAGATGAATGTCTACCAAGATATTTTTAACTATTTAATTATTTTAAAAGCCCTGTAATCTCCTGCTTTTGCATGCAAACATTCACAAACCAACTGAGGAACTTAGGATCTGGTCTTTAGTGTTCTGCACAACTGAGTGTCCACAGCTAAGATGGACAGATGGACATGCCCCCTCTGACTGAGTCCTTGCCACAGAAAATTCAACCCAACTTCACATTAATTCATCACTCCCATACAACTTCTCAGAAAACACTGATGTGGAAAGAGTCGTAGGACAGGGCACTGAAGGAATCCCCTCCTCAGGTTCATGCTCCTCACTAGGTGAGAGGCAGCCAGTCTGGAAAGGCTGCATCCAGAGCATCCTCCCCCTGAACATTCAGTCTCCTCTGATCGTCACCCAGATCCTTATCCTGAGGATGATGTGCTCAGTCACCTGGGTTTGGGCTTCAGGTTCCAAGATAGTTCATCTGAAAGGAAGCCAGGATTTTGATCCATCTCAGCTCTTTAAGCTAAAGTATGTTAATATTATGATATATTTCCCTGTAAAACAAGAAGGATCTGTATGCAGAGACCATGGAGACTTCCAACAATAAGGGTTAATATTGTCTAGAGAGTAAGAAAATAAAGAGTCTAGGAATAGGAAAGAAGATTAGTCAGCTCTAATAAGAAACCATCGAGAATTTTTTTTTAGATTATTTTTACTGACCTTATGACTTCAGCTGAGTCCATAGAGACAGGAGCAAGGATACCCAAGATTTACTCCCTCTTTGCCTCAGTGTTAGTTATTCCTGGTTCACCTCCTCACCCAAATCCAGGCTTCCTCTCCATCTGTCTGTCCTGTTCTATGCCCTGGTAGTCCAACTCCTGTGAATGGCATCATCCAGGCTAACCTTGCTTTATTGACATCTTACTGCATTCAGCCATGGATAAAAACTGGCAAGAGATCTGTAGGTGGGAAGAGAGAAAGTGAAGTATTTCCTCTTTTGCCCCCTGACAGCTAGGATGTGGTGGTTCTGCCATTGGCTGCCTCCCTCTCTGTTTTGGACTAAATGTTTGTGACTCTCCACCTCCAATTCATATGTTGGATTGCTAACTTCCAATGTAATGGTGTTTGGAGTTGGAACTTTTGAGAGGTAATTAGGTTTAGATCAGGTCATGAGTGTGAGACTGACATGATGGAATTAGTATTATTTTTTTAAATAGACATTTTTGCCTGGCTGGCGTAGCTCAGTGGATTGAGCGCAGGCTGCAAACCAGTGTCGCAGGTTCGATTCCCAGTCAGGGTACATGCCTTGGTTGCAGGCTATGACCCTCAGCAACCACACATTGATGTTTCTCTCTCTCTTCCCCGCTCCCTTCCCTCTTTAAAAATAAATAAATAAAATCTAAAAAAAAGACTTTTTGTAGAAAAGTATGATCCCAAGAATGATAAAGACAAAGAAGGCTACACTGAAGCACATGACAATCATAATTCTGAAAAAAAAATTTTAATGAAGTTCAGATCCTAAAATAACTCACCAAAAAACTAGAAATGGATCTGCTTTTTTGACCAGTGATCTCACTTCTGAGGGATATATCTGAAGGAACCCAAAACACTAATTTGAAAGAACATAAGCACCCCTATGTTTACTGCAGCATTATTTACAATCACCAAGATATGGAAGCTGTCCAAAGCATACATCAATAGATGAATGAATAAAACAAGTATAGGACATTTACACAATGGAATACTACTCAGCCACAAAAAGAAGAAAATTCTACCCTTGCCAACAGTATGGATGGACCTGGAGAATATGATGCTGAGTGAACTAAGCCTGTCAGAGAAAGACAAATACCATATGGTCTCACTCATATGTGGAATCTAATGAACAAACTACACTAACAAGGAAAATGGGGAACAGACTCATAAATGGAGAGCAGGATGACATCTAGTTGGGGGGTTATTAGTGGGTAGAGGGCTTGAGCAAGAAGAAAAAAGACTCATGGACATGGACAACAGTGTGGTAATTGCTGTGGGTAGGGAAGTATAATGTTATGTGGCTGGCTGCTGCTAGAGCTTGTCCTAGGGCTCACTGAGGCCAGCTGTTGCTTGTTTGAAAGGATTTAGGAAACTATAAAGCCTGAGCCAGGACTCATATGGGAAAAGCAGTTTGGGTGGGCCCGTAGGTTGGGTGGGACAGAGTCTTTGGGGATCTCTAAGGTGGATCAAACAATGTTAGCCAGGTTGATGGAGTCTCAGATATGGCACCAGTTGGCAGCTCTGTGGCTCTATGGGTGGGGGGGGAGGGGGGTGATTTAGAAAAAGGACAATGGCCTCTGGTTGTCTAGATGCCAGGTATGTCAGTTTCTCCCAGTATGCCACTGGTGCCTTTCAGGCTGCTACCCCAGTGCTGGAGCTCAGAGGGAGGGAGTCTGAATAGGTGAATCCATGTGTGTGTTATTAAAGAGGAACTGCTTGAGGCTCCAGCAGTTTCTTCTACCAACTCATTCCACACTGGTTTTTGCAGCCAGAAGTTGTAGGGACTTATCTCCCTGGCACTTGAGCCCTGGGCTGGGGGGCCTGGTGTGGGTCTGGGACTCCTTGCTCCCAACATATCCCTCCTGAATTTTTGTCTATCACATGTGGGTATGGGACTGGCCCATTCTACGTCTGCACCTCTCCTACCAATCTGGATGGATGTGGTTTTTTTAATTCAGTAGTTGTCAGACTTCTACTCAACTTGATTTCTGATGGTTCTGAGTGATGGTTTTTTATATTTCAGTTGTTATTTTGATGTGGTTGTGTAAAGAGGCAAGGCATGTCTGCCTATGCCATCATGTTAACCAGAAGCTTAAAGCAATTCTAATTGTGATTGTCTTCCAACATCTATTCCATGCCAGGTCTGTGGGTGCCTCTGACTAATCTAAATAAATTATTTTGATCTAAAATAACTATTTAAATAAATAAAGATAAATTGTAAGGAATGAAATCTTTCCATTTGTGACAGCATGGATGAACCTAGAGGGTGCTTTGCTAAACAAAATAATTCAGTCAGAGAAAGACAAATACCATCAAATTTCTCTTATATGTGGAATCTAAAGAACAATCTAAATAAACAAACAAAACAGAAACAGACTCTAGTTACAGAGATACAGAGAACAGACTGATGGTTTCTAGAAGGGCAGAGAGTGGGGTCTTAGGTGAAAATTGTGAAGGAATTAAGAAGCACAAATTGGTAGTTACAAAATGGTCATGGGGATGTAAAGCACAACATAAGGAATATAGACAATAATATTGTAATAACTATGCATAGTGGAAGGAGGGTCCTCAGAATATTGGGGGGGGACACTTTCATGAAAGTATAGATTGTCTAACTACTATGCTGTACACCTGGAACAAATACAAAATAATACTGAATGTAAATTATAAATGAAAAATAAAATTTAAAGTTCCTTAAAAAAATAAAGGCAAAATAAATACATTTTCAGAAAGACAAAAGTGAAGACCACATTTCTCCAGCTGACCTGCAGTAAAAGAAATGCTAAAAGAAAGTCTTCTATAGGTTGGTGATATTTTTTAACTATTATTCTAAATTTCCTCAAACTTTTCAAACCTATCTAACAGAGAACAGATAGATTAAAATGTAAACTTCTTAAGTAGTGTTTTTAAATAACATCAGTTCCTTGCTCAGAAAGCCTTAATATTTCTTTGTTTCCTCCTGACCAACATCCAGATTTATTTTTGCAGACATCCAAGACAAATCATCTTCCAGACTGATCTCCTGGCACTCTCTAATCTATGCACGCTCTGGCCAACATTCTATTCCCTTTTTCCTTTTGTCAAAGAAGGAAGCAAAAGTTTCTTCCTTCTCTTCTTCCCCATCTCTATATTTTATGAATAAAATATCATAAAATTAATTTTGAAAATATTTATGAACTACCCTAGAGCATGTTTGTCATTATTTTTAATTAAGTATTTTATTGTTCTACACAGTTGTCCCAATTTCCCCTGCTTTGCTCTCTTCCACCAAGCCCACCCTCTGCTCCCACAGACAATCCCCACTCTATTGTGCATGTTCATGGGTGATTCACACATGTTCCTTAACTAGTCCCTTCCCCTTCTTTTTACCCTTATCCCCATCTTGCTTCCCCTCTGGTCACTGACATTCTGTTGCTTTTTGTCGATGCCTCTGGTTCTATTCTGGTTGTTTGTTTGTTTTGTTCATTAGGCTCCTCTTATAAATGAGATCATATGGCATTTGTCTTTCAATGCCTGGCTTATTTCACTTAGCATATAATATTCTCCAGCTCCATCCATGCTGTTGAAAAAGGTAGGATTTTCCTCTTTTCTCCTGTGTAGTATTCCAGTGCAAAAATGTACCACAGTTTTGTTAATTTTATTAATTAGTCAATTAATTAATTAATTATATTTTACTTTATTTTTAATATATTTTATTGATTATGCTATTACAGTTGTCCCATTTTCATCCCTTCACTCTCCTCCACCCTGCATACTTCCTGCCACCCACATTCCCCCCTTTTAGTTCATGTCCATGTGTCATACTTATAACTTCTTGGCTTCTACATTTCCCATAATATTCTTACCCTCTCCTTGTCTATTTTCTACCCACCATCAATGGTACTTATTCTCTATACTTTTTCCCTCTCTCTCCTCCCACTCCCCTGTTGCTAACCTCCATGTCACCTCCATTTCTGTGAGTCTGTTCCTGTTCTAGTTTGTTTTGCTTAGGCTGTTTTTGTTTTTGTTTTAGGTGTGGTTGTTAATAATTGTGAGTTTGCTG